TTTTTTTTTTTTTTTTTTTTTTTTGTACTGGGGATTGAACTCGGGTCCTTGCGCTTGCAAGGCAGGCCACCGAATGGCTGAGCTAAATCCCCAACCCCATAAGCATCTTAATGATATTCAAGTACTCGACTATAGCCAACACATATCATATTTTCTTGTCTGTGTTATAAGTTATGTCATAAACCAAACTGAAGGTTACACTATGGTTTTTTCACAGCTTTTAATCCATTTTCAAATAAAAGCATAATATACCAATATCTTGTTTGTCCATGATATACATTAATTACAATTTTGGTTATCAAGAGCACAAGAACAAAGGAGTAAAAAAAGCTCCAGAATATTTCAAAACAGATGTATACACTCTGTATTAATTCTCACTACACTAGATACAGTTATCCTTTAAATAACATGTGTTTAAACTGTGTGAGTGCACTTAACTTACATGCAAGTCTTTTTGGTGTTTCACTACAACTTGAAAAAACTTAACAAATGAATTACATAGGCCAGAAATATTGAAAAAACGTATATAATGAATGCATAAGATATATGAACCTAATAGTCTATTTTATCATTTGCTGCCATAAAATATTACAATGTTATACTAAACAACTAAAATATATCAAAACTTATGCATATAATTGTTTAACTATATACAGTTCCATTTGTAGTAGAAATGTAAGTAGGTGTAAATTTGAATATTAAATCAGCATTGAATACAGTAGATTCTGTACTGCTATACTAATTTTATAGCCACATCCTATTGCTATTGTGGTGAGCACAAGTGTTACAAGTACTCATTTAAAATGACTGATGCTAATCATCCCCACTTTAGCAGTTTGTTTCTCCAGTAAGTTGAAAATCATAGTAAAAAGTTATCCCTTACAGTTCTTACATATTTTTACCATATATAATATATATCATACAAAATAGAATCAGTTGGCTATTCATGTAATCAGTAAGGCTTCTAGTCAACAGCATGCTATTAGCAGTTTAGTTTTAGAGGGGTAAAAAGTTACCCGTGGATTTTCAAATGTATGTGTTGGGATGGGGTCAGTGCCCCTACTCCCATATTGTTTAAAGGTCAACCTCACATAAAAATATGCTTCGACTGTTTTTCAGTGTTTTTTCATTTCTATACTTTGTCATTTATTTTTAAACAAAGTTATCCAGTTTCTCTGACCACAGTAGATTCGAAGTAGACAATTAGTTACAGAGGGACTGATACAGGGGTTGATTTCTAGTGATGCTAAAAGCAACAAGAATGATAGCCCTGCAATAAGGTAGCAGATAGTAAAGACTAAAATAAGAATAGACAGAATTAAATACTCAAGAAATGTATCTACAGCACACTGCTGTGTAATAATTTATGTTCATTGTAGTAGCTCCTAATTGTGTAATAAAAGTTAATGATCCAGGCACTTGGAAAGCTGATGCAGAAAGATCACTACAAGTTTAAGGCCAGCCTAGGCTACACAGTAAGTTCAAGGCCAGCCTGAAGTACATAGACCCTGTCTCAGATAAAAAAAAGTTAATTGGTATTTAGTTATGTACTCCTTAGGAGGGGGAGAAAGGTCTTAAGTAAATTATCCCTCAGGTATATGTATGCTTCACTGTCAAAGACCTTGCATTTCCAATCAACTGATAATTTTGCACTTTGCTGATGTGCAATTTGAATATATGTTCCTTGATTTTAGTTATCAGAAATGCAAAGAAGACGATTTTTCAGAAGCAGCGTTTTGAATGAAAGGTTGCATAAATTAAAATGAATAAAGGTAAAAATTTAAATCTGAACATTTGGTTGTAGTGCTTTCATTAATTAGATTTTAACGTTTTTGCTTCATTTGATAAAATGGCATCATATATATTTTTCTATAGTCATTTCTGGTTACATAAATGACTTGAATACTTAGTATTTGTTTATATCCTTATACCTCTGCCCTTTTTTTCAGAAAACAGATAAATACAGCAGCTACCCTGTATACCATACTATTTATGAGACATTTGAATTGGTAGAGAATTTTTATGACCCAATGTTTAAGAAGCAGCTTTCTGTGGCTCAGTTACGAGGGGCACTGGTATATGAGCTTGCAGACTCTACCATCATTCCTTTCAATATTCAAGATTATGCGAAGGATTTGGAAAACTATGCAGCAAGTATCTTCAATTTAGCCAAGAAACACAATCAACAACTAAGAGACTATGGAGTATCATTTGGTGAGACATTTTATAATCTTTAAACCAAGGCTTTAAGATATCATAATCTGTGCATTATGATTAATACTGCTTCATTCGAGATTTTTATCCCTGCCTCACTCACTAGTTCTTTTTAGACAAAAACTTTAAATAAACACCTATATAAGAATCTGATTTAGTTTGATGTCTGTCTAGTTGGCAGTACAAACATTGGGCTGGTAAATATTTTTCTCGTATTACTACTTTTAGAAGGATTTTTGCTTTTACAGGAACAAAAGGAGGAAAGTGCAACAATATTACAAAGAAGAATAAAAAGTAGAGAAATAAATGAAACCACCAATTCTACTACATATATGCACTGTTATTACTATTATTATTATTACTGTACACCGTATTTCCCTGAAAATAAGACCTAGCTGGAAAATAATGAGCCTTGAAAAATAGAGATAAAAAATGTCAACCCCAATCAGCCTAACCTGGCCTTAACTGCCTCAGAGAGCATCCACTGTGCAAGAGAATAGTGATGGCAGGTAAGGATAGGCTGATCGGGGCTGATTTTTGATCTCTAGTTTTTGAGGATGCTTATTTTCAGGAAACATGTCACCCATTAATGGTTTTCTACATGAAAGGTTACTTTTACACAGTTATCAGTTATCTTTCCTTTTATAACTGAAAACTTGGTAGTTGCTGTTTTACTCCCTATGTCTCTGATAAGGTAGAAATGAAATGTAGTGTAGTGTAGCGGTGTTGAGAAGTGGGTCAGGAAGCATTTTGCCTGATTGAATTGCTGGCTCTACCATTTAGTCTGTGTGATCTTTGTAAAGTTAGTTAATCTGTCAGTGTTCTGGCAAGTTAGCCAATAAAATGAAAGAATTTAATATTTCAAAGATTATTGTGGAGATTGTTATGTGGGAATATAAATGTTGCCTAATTATGACTGTCTTATTGTAACCATCCTTGTGTTATTTTAGGGGTATATATTATTAGTGTACACCAAAATGATTAAATATATACAGAGGGTCTACTATGTACCTACCTATTACTTGGTTATTTCTAGGAAATACAGTATGTATAAGTCATAGCTAAAGTCCTCAAAGAGCTTAAATATCTTAGTGAAGAAATATCTCAGTCAGAATGCTGAGGACAAGATATTAGAGGACACATAGGGAGGAATCTAAAAGCAGAGATCCTTGGTATAGAGTGGTCAGTAATGATTCTGAATTTACTTTGGATATTTTTACATAAAGGTCAGTACTATTTATGAAGTTATGAACAGCAGCAAACATTTTGATCTAAAAACAAAAGGAAGTGAAGTTTTGCCAAAGTTTTCATTGATCTGTGTCACTAAATATTAAGGAGATATTTTTTTACTACATTTGAAACTTAATATTCCTTATTCAATACTCTCTTCCCGTAGTTTTCATCAGCTCCATTACTAGACCATTTTTTAACGTGGTTTTAAAAAACAACAAATAAAGCTTAAAGAACTAAATCTAGAACTAAAAAGGCCTTGTTTATTTACTGAATATACTTATATTGAACATACTACTTAGTACCTGTGTGATCCATTAGAAATCTTGTGATTTGAGCTGCGAGTGCTTTTCTGTAAAATGAATATTATATCTTCTGCTTTGCCTGAATCACAGAATTGGTATAAACAGCAAGTCAATAATATATGTTAAAATTCTGCATAGAGCCCGGCATGGTGGCACACGCCTATAATCCCAGCACTTGGGAGGCTGAGGCAGGAGGATCGCTTTGAGTTCGAGACCAGCCTGGGCTATATAGTGAGTTCCAGGTCAGTCTCAGTCTCAACTACATAGTGAGAACCTGTCTCAAAAAACCAAAAACCAAAACAAAACAAAACAAAACAAAAAAACCAAACCCTCCCCGCAAAAAACAACTGCATAGAAAAGAGGGAAAATAGTAAATAGGTTTTGTAATAAAAATATAATGTATGGAGAACCTAAGTACTCTCTTTAGGAACTTTGTGAACTAAAGAAAAGTTTGTTCAAACCAAACCTGATTTCTGATTAGAGAGTCTGAATATACCATTTTATTATTGGTTATCTTTTGAACAACTAGGATGAGTACTGTTTTAATCCAGCAGTTAAAAAGATCATAGTTTATTTATAGGTATAAACCTGATTTCTGATTAGAGAGTCTGAATATACCATTTTATTATTGGTTATCTTTTGAACAATTAGGATGAGTACTGTTTTAATCCAGCAGTTAAAAAGATCATAGTTTATTTATAGCTAAACCTAGTATCTAGTTTGTAGTAATTGTCCTAATAAATATATATTTAATGAATAAATAAATTCACGTTAAGGTCTTGGTAAAAGTATAGGTCAAATAATATTTTATGCCCTAAACTTTTGAATGACAATTTCCTAAGAAACAATTTAACCATTTTTATTTTTCCACGTAATATTTTTATGATTTTTTTTTGTATGTGTGTGTAACAGGGTTTTTCTTAGTAGTGCACGCTGGCCTTGAACTCACTATATAGCCCAGGATGGCAATCTTCCTGCCTGCCTGGGCTACATAGTGAGTTCCAGGTCAGTCTCAGTCTCAACTACATAGTGAGAACCTGTCTCAAAAAACCAAAAACCAAAACAAAACAAAACAAAACAAAAAAAACCAAACCCTCCCCGCAAAAAACAACTGCATAGAAAAGAGGGAAAATAGTAAATAGATTTTGTAATAAAAATATAATGTATGGAGACCCTAAGTACTCTCTTTAGGAACTTTGTGAACTAAAGAAAAGTTTGTTCAAACCAAACCTGATTTCTGATTAGAGAGTCTGAATATACCATTTTATTATTGGTTATCTTTTGAACAATTAGGATGAGTACTGTTTTAATCCAGCAGTTAAAAAGATCATAGTTTATTTATAGCTAAACCTAGTATCTAGTTTGTAGTAATTGTCCTAATAAATATATATTTAATGAATAAATAAATTCACGTTAAGGTCTTGGTAAAAGTATAGGTCAAATAATATTTTATGCCCTAAACTTTTGAATGACAATTTCCTAAGAAACAATTTAACCATTTTTATTTTTCCACGTAATATTTTTATGATTTTTTTTTGTATGTGTGTGTAACAGGGTTTTTCTTAGTAGTGCACGCTGGCCTTGAACTCACTATATAGCCCAGGATGGCAATCTTCCTGCCTGTCTCCCAAGTTCTAGGATTATAGGTGTGCACCACCATGCCCAGCTTGTTGTCTTTTTAAACTTTTTTGCTGTTGTTGTTGTTGTTACTGGGAATGGAACTCAGGGCCTCATGCTTGTCAAGCAGGTTCTGTGCCACTGAGCTACATCCCCAGTTTGCTTGTTTTTTGTTTTTTTAAAGACAGGGTCTCACTATGTAGTTCAGGCTGGCTTTGAACTCACTGTGTATTCTAGGCTGGCCCAGCACCCTCGCATTCCTGGCGATCCTCCTGTCTCAGTCTGAGTGCTGGGGTTGCAGGCATGTGCCACAACAGCCAGCTTTCTGATATTTTATAATACCTTTATGAATCTGCAAGAAGGCTCAGTAGAAAAATAGTTTAATCACCAAGTTGGGCTTTCTATCAATCTGCAATGGAGATGGCAGGAAAATGAACCTCTGAAATATGAATCACTTATGCTTTCTCATTTTTTACTTTTCTATTTTCATTTTAAAGATTCCTTGTTTTCTGCTGTGAAAAATTTCTCAGAGGCTGCTTCAGATTTTCATAGAAGACTTACACAGCTAGATCTTAATAAGTAAGTTGCAGACGCCTACTATTCTGAAAAGCAATCTGGTTGTAGGAATGAACTGTTTCTACTCATCTGAGCATTCAGCTCTAAATTGTTTCTTTTCAGTTATGATGTGCAAGCCAGCAGCATTGGGGCTGTTAGAAAGGCAGACATCAGTCCCCACCAAGACCGGGTGAAATCTGATTCTACCTGTGGTTGGTTTATCCTGACATTAGCCTTTGAGAAATAGTGCTGTGAATGGTAAACCAAAAACGAATTCCAAGACGAGGGCCAGGGAGATGGGGTGGTGCATGTCTGTAATGATATGTCTGCAGGAGGATAATGAATTCAAATTCTGCCTGGGAAACTTGTTGACTTAATAAGATCCTGTCTCAAAATGTAAAAAAAAAAAATACAAAGACCAAAGACATATCTTTGTATGATGAGAATTCTGATCATAGCTGGTAATGTACAGCTCCATGTGCATTTCTAATATATTTAATTATACTTATCTAGTATTAGTATGCGTCAGTTTCAGTTTTTTATTGATGCTCTTTTGCATTTCATGTAACTTCTTGCAACTCTTAGGGTTAAGATACTTTAAAGGTATACCTGAAGTAAAATATATAATCATAAACTATTCCCTAGTATAGTTCATATGGCATTTACTTTGTCAGACTTACTCAGAAAGCAATGTAAGTAGTTTTGAAGAGCCTTTCTTTTCCCTTGGATTGTAGGAGAGCCTAGGGTACTTGTTTGATTACCCCCTCGCCCCAACAAAATTAAAATCTGAGGATTCCAGTTTGATGATTCCCTGTCCAAGTGTGCAACTGTCTCCTGCCCTTCTTATAGACTCCTTAAATCTTCACTCACTCTTTTGTGTTTATTTTCCGTCCTTTCTTCCCCAGTAGGACACAGAGATTTATCAGGTACAATGTGATAGTTCACTCTGTCTACCTTTCCAAGAAGTTTGGTTATACTATGGAGAAGAAAAGAATGCTTTCAGTTCTATTTTATTAGTCTGTAGCCATTATGACCCATTTCTCAAATAGGGTTCTGTCTATTATAAATATAAGAAAGATGATGATGATGTTTTATGTAGATTAACACATAAAACAAACTATGTTCATATGCATTTTGTTAAAAATTTATTGATTTATTTCCCCCATGCTTTATCTTTAATATTATTTTAAACATGGTTCCATGGTAAAGTTTTAGTTATATCTATTTTTTTCTAAAAGTCCCATTGCAGTGAGAATTATGAATGACCAGTTGATGCTGCTGGAAAGAGCATTCATCGATCCCCTGGGTTTACCAGGAAGGCGGTTCTATAGGTAAGGGAACAACAGGCAGACTCTTTAGTGGCACCTCACTATGACCAAAAGCAGCAAAGCAGTCTGCTTGAAACTGATTCCATCAATGAGTGGAAAGTGACTCTGTATAATAAAGAGAAAATGGGTAAGTTAATGCATCCAATTGTAGTATAATATGTGACAGCAGAAAAATAGATTCCACATCATTTATTTCGCTATATTACAAATCAGGTGATATTTGAAAAATAACTCTTTATAACAAAATGACCAAACCACACTTTTTTTTGTTATAGGAAAAATAATCTTTATTTAAACAAATAAAAACATGTTAAGAGTCCAATCCAAGAGTTGTTGCTTAAAATTTGACAGTTACGATTTTTCTTTTACTGTGCTGGGGATTGAAACCAGGGCCTCCTGCATGCAAGGCCAGTACTCTGCAACTGAACTGTTTCCTGCCCCACAGTTAAGATTTCCCTAAAGCTTAAAAAAGACTGGAAAATAAAGCTTCAGTCTGCTGACCTTGTAATCCACACTTCTCCATAAGTTTTTCTGCCTCTTTTCTACCTTTTATTGTTATTAGGATGCTTATCAGCCATAGTCTCTTTATTTAGGTCTCTTGAGTCACTTTCACAAACCAGCATTTTTGGAGTAACAGTTTTAAGAATGTATGAAGAGTGATCCATGTTATCTACATCCCAGACAACTGCATCAGGAATCTAATTGGCAGCACTAGAAAGTTTTTCATGTAGTTCCAAACTTGGAGAAATAAACTTGGGAAGATTAACTCATCCATTGTCTAAAGCACTTCTATAGACACAGTGAACCTCATGCTCCTTGAGCCTTTTGATTGGAACCATAGGACAAGTATTATATTTACAGTTATCCATCTTTTTAGCCATGTTAGGATTTTTTCTGAGAAGGGTGGTGCTGTTTTGCTGCTCAGCTAACGAAGCGCACTTTTAAGAGGGATCTCAGAGCTCATTTAGCTCTACTGTCTACATGACTCCCTTTTACAGATCCTCAGGTAAATAGTTGTATCTTTCAGTGCTGTCCTAGATTTCCACAAGAGCCCGTGCTGTTTCTTAGATTCAGTGTGTACTTTCATTTTTGCCTGCAGCCTCTTTTTCTGTTTACTCAGTGCAAGCTTGCTCTGAAGAGCTAGTTTCTCTCTCACGTTTCAGTTTTACTTCCTCAAATATACTTTGCCACTGGGGGTGAGAGGAGCAACAAAATAACAAAACAACAACAACAACAACAACAACACTTCCAGTGGTGGAAAGCTTAATTCTTCATGAGAAGCCCTTTCCCTTTTAGGGAAGTACTAATTCTGAAATCTCTTACTTTGTAATGTTCTCCCTCAGATCCTGTTTTATTTTCCAAAGCCAGATAGAGTGAGTCTAGCTGTTTCTATGTAACATTTTAAGTTTTAAAGATGATTGTGTATTATTCTAAATACTACTGTTTCTTTCTATATCTCTGTGTCATGTTTGTTTCCATATCTTGTCTGCATGCCTCTGGATTGTCTATATTTTCTCAAAGTCCTTTTTAAACTGGTTCCCTGTTGGAAACTGGCAAGGTCCTACCATTTAAAGCCAGAAAGTCTGTGTTCAAGTGTATATACAGATGTATGACTTAGAGTAAATCATTTCCCATCCAACATAAGATAATGCAAATTGCTTTACACAGTTATTTATCATCAGATATCATGTAAAAATAGTTCTATGTTTTGTTTTTGTTTTGTTTTGTACCAGGGATAGAACTCAGGGCCTTGTGTTTGTGAGGCATTTGCGGTATCACCGAGCTAAATCCCCGGGCCCAATAGTTCTACATGTTACCTGTCTAAATATTAATGATTAGTATTAACATTTAAATAATTACAAGCAGAAGCTTTTAGAACATAATTCTGCTACACAGTAAATGTGGCCTGAGAAAATTATTTTTTAGCCTGATTCCTCAACTGTAGGCAGAGATTATAAATTGCTTTCATTCATATGCTTGTGGACTTAGGCATACAGATTTAGCTCAAAGAGGGATGTACTCAGTACATGAAAGCTAATTTTATTAGTAAGAACATAAATATTTGCTTATTCATTGATACAAATATAATCATCAAAGTCTTTATATAAATGGAGTAAAAGTTGAAAGCAAGATCTCCAACTTTAATCCTCTTTTCAGTCTTATTAATTACATTGTTTACATTAATTACTCTGTTTACAAACTCAGTTCTCTCCGTGATTCTGGTCACAAATTGAACTGGAGGAGAACTGAATCAAATTTCCCTGAAGAGTCAACATGAACCTAACTATTGAATTTGATTCAGTTTTCATCTGGTTTGTGACCAGAATGAAGTTTGTGAACTGAGGCTCCACTGTATGTTTTTAAAGTTTAAACTGCTTATCATCAAAATAGCTATAAAGTTTCAATTCTGTAGAATCATGTAGAATAAAAAGGAGATAATGCTTCTCAATATTCTCTAGCTACTTATTTTCTTTTCAGGGAATATCAGTGTAACAACTTAGTATAATTTTAGTGCATTTGTATCTGTATATGTAAAATTTGTATATGTTTATATAACAATACCTTTATACCACCTTATGCAAGTAAATCTACTTATATAAAGTTACATTCATATTTCTGTATGCAAATATATGATTTATGTATACATATTTTTATATAGAAACATTTGTAAAAATGGAACTTTTTTCTTTTAATCTTAGAGATCTTTATAGATCAGTATATATAGATTTAGTTCTTCTTTTTTCTCTGACCCTCATCCTTAGCCCCGTTTTTAACCTCGAGACAGTGTTTCACTAATTTGCCCAGGGTGGCCTTCAACTTGCTGTCCTCCTGCTTTAGTCTCCCAAATAGCTGTGATTATAGGCATATGCTACCACGCTTGGCTGGCTCTTCCTGTTCATCTACTGCATACCACTCCACGGTATGGCATATATTTACAACTTTAACTACTACTTATTGAGATTATAATTAGATGATTATTTTCCCCCAAGTACTTGCTGTTATGAAATGTATTTCCATAACATTTTCTTCTATCCTATTTGGACATTGTTATTATCTCTATAGGCAGTGCCTAGTGTTTCAGAGTCACAGGGCCAACATGTTTTTAAATTTGATTAGGGTACTCCAAACTCTCTTCCAAATAGAGTACACTATATTTTTAAAAATACATTTTCAACTATTAGCTAAATATTGAGACTATTTTAAAGCAGTTCATGTTGCTATTTTCAGTGCACTACAGTAGTATAGAAATTTTTCCTTCATGATTATAAGGATTACTTTATGAAATGAATAAATATTTGACACCTCACTCTCCCCAATAACTTCTAAGAGAAATGTAGCTGTAATACAAATTTTGGCTGCTACAAGTTTTCACTTGTTTTAAATGACAAATATTTCTTTTCTTTTAGGCACATCATCTTTGCTCCAAGTAGCCACAACAAATATGCTGGAGAGTCATTTCCTGGGATTTATGATGCCATGTTTGATATCGAAAACAAAGCAGACCCTCATTTGGCCTGGAAAGAAGTAAAGAAACATATTTCTATTGCAGCTTTTACAATTCAAGCAGCAGCAGGGACGTTGAAAGAAGTGTTATAGGAAGGTCTCAATCAAGTGGCTATTAAAGGTGTTGCTGAAAGTCTGAGGATGAAATTTATCATTTTTGATGACTCATGAAGCCAGAGGGTTCTAAAAATCTTGATTTTTCATGTTATGTTTTTATACTCACATCTTGTTCACTGCAGAGTTTTTGTCTTTTGTATGCATGACCAAAGGAAACAACCCAAATGCCAACAATGATAAGTTGATAAATTATGTATATCCACAGTAAAATTCTAGTCAGCAATATAAAAATGGAAGAATTCTCATTATACGCAGTCTGTCAGTACATACAGTGTTGAGTTAAAGAAGCTAGAAAAAAATACACAGGTAAAATTTATATGAAGATGTGGCAAAACTGTGGTGACAAAAATCAGTGATTGGATGTGGTAAGGGGGGGAGGATGGCTGCCAAGACACATGAAGCTTTCTCAGAGAAGTGGAGTGTTCTGTATCTTCAGCTGAGTGTCACCTACACAGGTGTATGCATTTGCCAGACTCATTAAACTGTAAACATAAAATGTGTCCATTTTACTATATGACAAGTCCCAATAAAATTGACTTTTAAAATCCCATAAAAAACAAACATCCATGCAGAGAGACCAGAAGATTATATCTTCTCTTGTAAAATCACTATAGAATACAAATAGAAAAAAGTCAGTAATATCTTTTGATAACTTCAGTTTTACCGAATAAGCATTTAAGTTGGCTTGGTGAGGAAATCCGCCAAAAATGTCTACATTTTAACACCTATAAAAATTATATCAGCATCTCCATCTTTATGCAGAGCCTCAGAATTATAAGAAAGCATGATGTAACCTTAATAAACTTGATCAGTTACTTTACTGAAAGGAGTTGATAATCAGAAATTAGAAGAGCTTTTATAGGCAAATACACTAAAATGAAAAAATGACAGTGCAAAATTTGCAACTTAATGTTTCTTTCACTGGTAAATGATTTTGTTTTTGTCCTCTTAATCAGTAGCCGATCATTAGTGACAGAGCTTGTGATGCTGTGGTATGCACTGTATGCAGCCCATGACACAGGGTATAGGGTATGATATGTTCAGTACACAGAATGTATGTTTGAACTTATTTTTCTGAAGTTTTCCCTTAAGCATTTGGTGTCAGTTGAATTAGCTGTTAAAACTCCCCTTTCATCTCACTGATGGATCCAACTTCTGAGAAGTTATTTTTCTTTTAACAATACAAAGGAAATAAGTACTGTGTTTTGCTCTCCATTGTGTATTACCTGTTTTGTTACTGATTTTTAAAATCAAATTTAAACAATCCATAAATTCCTTTCATCTAAAAATTTGTTTTATACAGAAAATTTAACAGAATGAAATATACGTGACACAAGAGTGTTCACTATATTTTCTTTTTTTACCATAATGAAAAGTAATGAAGTATCAATGGACTACTGATTCACAATGATACATCTTTCATTTATGTGGTAAATTGTCCATGACTTACTTTTGCAAAAAAAAGGTAATAAAACTAGGGGAAAGGAAATAAGGGACAAGAAAAAATACAAGAAAAGGAAAAAAATGGGAACAAAGTCTTTGTAAATAGGGGAGGGTGGAAGGGGTGAAGGGAGGGTAGGGGTATGGGGAAAAAATGAGAACCAAGATCTGTCATTTAAAGGTATAAGATCCCAATGATGAATGTAACTGTACTGTATACATAAAAAGTACCAATAAACCCAATAAAGTTTAAAAAAGGTAATAAAATTAAATTTACATATATTAAAGTATCTACAGTGATTACTTTGGACTGGTGGATTTCAACATGACTTGAACTCTGTATTTTTCTGAATTGTGTAAATTTTGTATGAGGATATATTCCCTTTATAACGGGTTAGATAAAACTTCATTTTGAACATAAAAAAAATGATTCACAAATAACACTTTATTCCTATTTTTGTAATTTACCAGTTTGGCTATTCTGAGAATATAAACACTTATTACATATGCATACATAGACCATCTTAATATATTTCCTACTTGTTTCAGAATTTCACATACATAAATTAATTGGCCTTTGAGCTTTTAAGAAAATCAGTAAAATACTAACATTTGAAATGATTCTAATTGAATTGAACTTTACCATTGCTTGTAACTGGGGACTCATTTGCTTTATTGTTCTACCTTTTCAGTAGCTCTTACATTCATCCATGTCTTCTGTTGCCCAATATGATTCTTCTGGATTCAGACAATCTATATCTTTGATTTAAATATCACCAACTTCTTTCATATCAACCTACTTCCTTTCCCCCTTTGTATTAGTTATACATATTGGCCAGAATGATCTTCCTAAATGTAGTGATGCCATGTATTATTTAAAAACCCTTTAATAGGGACCTCTGCTGCCAGGGATGTTGTCATGACCAGCAGATAATCAGTCCAGTTGCAACAACCAGTAAAAAAGGAATGAAATGAAAGTATTTTCAAAGATATCAAAATAGCTATGGAAGCATTGGCCAGTAGAGGTACAGTACAAGTATCTTAGGTAGCTGAGACTGCCAACTTTTCCTGGTGCATTCGATTCCAGGCATAGGCTAAAGTTTGGGCTTCCCAATTCTAAGGCACTTTACTAAGGGCTAATCAACAGAGAATGTGATGTCCCTGCTTCTACTAAGTATCCTAGAATGTAGACATTTGCTTAGGAACTGGGGTAAAGGTAGAGAGCTTTGGGATCAGCAAATAGGATTTGAACATTCCAATACTGTCTCTCAACTCCAGGTCTTTTCACATCCTAGTAGCCATGGATCCTGCTCCCCTATTTGGCTCCCATCCATCCATGTTTCGTTTTTCATCAGGATTCAATATTTAACCTTTAAACAATTCATAAAGTCCACCAAATAAGCTCCACAGCAAATTTTGTGTTTTTGTTTTTTTTGAGACAGGGTTTCGCTATGTAGTGCAGGTGGGTCTTGAACTATGTAGCCCTGGCTGACCTTGAACTGAACGTGATCTTCCTGCTCAGCCTCCCAAGTGCTGGGATTACAGGTGTGAACCACTATGCCTGGCTCCACAGTAAGTTCATAGGTTTATTTTTAGCACAATTTTTATTTAATATTTTGTTTACTTTTTGGAAGCAGATTGTGTGTTTGATCAATTATTACAAAGTGAACAAAGTGTTGACTGAAACAAAGCAATTATGCAAAGGGACCACTACAATGTTGAAGAGGATTACAAACATCTTATTAAATACCTACGTAAAATCTATAAATTTCACTTACAATTCCAAATGGTTCCTTTAGGAGAAAAAACTGTTCAGAAATATAAACTAAATTTTTCTATCAAAGCATAAATAATATATGAAAAGTGCATCATCTATATATGTTACAAATCTGAGAGAAGTGTCATAATTAACAAACATATGTGATTCTTCATTTAAGTTCAGGACTGTTTTTTGGTTTTTTTAATGTGAGACAGGATCTTAAGTTTCTTAACAAAGTCTTTTTTTTTCAGGGCCAGGTTCTTACCCCAGTGGTTCTGCCACCTGCCTTGCAAACGTGAGGACCCAAGTTTAATACCTGCTACCCCCCCAAAAAAAAGTCTTTTCTTTTTAAAACAGAATCTTGTTAAGTTGCCCAGGCTGGGCTGGAACTTGCTATTCTCCTGCCTGTCTCCTGAGTGCTGGGATTATTGGCATGAGCCACCAAACCCAGATAGGAACTTTTCAAAGAAAATGTGTTTTCCTTGCAATGTGATGTGATAGGGTGCCTTCTTTAATAATGATAGTTATATTTCTAGGTACATGGCCTTGTAATTATCCACACTTAAGAAATGTAGAACAGTGTTCAGACTCATTGATGATCAGGCCAAGGTTATTTATATGCATAAACCTTTAGAACAAACTGCCTACAAGGGACAATTCATAACTACGGGCCTTTAAATTTAGTCTTTTAGCTATTGAATCCCCCTGCCCTCCCAAAATAGGTCTTAGTATGTACTTCAGGCTGGTCTTGAACTCATGGAGATCCTCCTGCCTCTGCCTTCTGAGTGCTGGGATTGCAGGCATGTGCCATCACACATGTCCTATTGGTTAAGAAAATGAACAGCTTATTTGACTAACACAAAAACTGAAAGCATATTATTTTTTCATGATAATTTAGTTATTTAATGTTTAAAAAGGCAGACCCCTTCCCCACCCAGACCTCCCTACGACCAGGGGACTGGTGTTCCTCAGATAAAGGTCTACTATATAGAATATATAAAGAACTCAATAAATCAGACCCCCCCAATATAAAGACCCAATTAAAAAATGGGCATCTGAAATGAACAGACATTTCTCAAGGTAAAAGAAGCAAAGAAACATGAAAAATGTTCAACAAAAATGTTAAAAATATTCACGTCATTCAAGAGATGCAGATGAAAACAACACTGAATAGTTTCTCTGGTGTGAAAAACAAAGTGTAAATACGAATCAAAATGTATAATTGATATTGTGTAATAGGAAGAAAAGGTCTAAAAGAGTAGAGGAAGTGGGAGGGGTAGGGGAAAGGGAAAAGGGAAAAGAAAAATTATGTGAAAAGGGAAAACATGGAAACAATATTTTTGTAAACAGGGAAGGGTGGAGGGGTTGGAGGGAGGGCTGGGAAATGGGAAAAAATTAGAACCAAGATACCTCAGGTAAGGGTACAAGATCCTAATGATGAATGTAACTGTATTATATACCTAAAATGTACCAATAAACTTAATATTTTTAAAAAGGCAGGAACAATGGTAGCAACTAACTGGGTTTTGAATGTTGACTTAGATATTTTCAGTGTTATGGTCAAGAGTTTTAAGGATTTTGGAGTCAGTCTCTTAATTTTATAATCCTGAGGCAGGAGGATAATAAATTTGAGCCTAGCTTGGAGAATTTAGTGAGACTCAAAAATAAATACAAAGGACTGGGGATATATGTTAGTGAAGACTCTGAGTTCAATCCTCAATAGTGAAAAAAAAAAAATCACCACTTACTATTTGAGATCTGAAGCAAGTTATGTGCTTTTTTTTTGGCTTCTGAATTTGATCAAAAGCATACAGTATAATTCTCAAGATGCTCTGTAAATGAAAAGCTCTAATCAAGTGAATTAGTCTTGCAATTAGCTCCTTTTCCTAAAGATTTTTAACTACCTTAAAAATGGGACTAGAATTTCATGTCCTTCAATTCTGCTTTCCATTGGTTTTCTTTTTAAAATATTTACCTCCTCTGTCTCCTACTCAGTCTTTTCCTGCTGATAAATTTAAGTGGCTTATACTGAGGGCAAAAATCGATTTGAAGGTCTCTTTAGGGCATTAAACATGGCCTCCGTTGGCCTCTATTAGGAGGTAGGAAGTCTGGCATCAATGTTATTGGAATCTGGCTTTCATGTAATTGTATTGGAAGACGTTGTTAGTTTATCAAGTTAAAATTTATTAGAGGGCCAGGGATTTAGCCCAGCGGTGGTTCCGCCACCTGCCTCACTAGCACAAGGTCCCAATCCCTGGTACCAGGCAAAAAAAATTAAATATTTGCTCATCTCACGGAACACTCCAAGAACAAGTTACTTGCAATCCACAGTCTTAACTATAGCAGGGAAACTTAAGATTTTACATAAATTATAATGATCTCATAAATTGCAATCAGCCTTATGCATTACTTAAAAATTTGTGAATTTTCCTGACATTTTCCTCTAATGTTTCCAAGAATGTTTCTTGGATGTGAGGGCAATCTGGCTGCAACATATCATACCCATTGATCGTCAGGTTTGACCCGGCTGATATGGCTGGTCAGCTGTGTCTCTTCTTCCTCACTGCTCCACGTGTGCCCTGGGTTGCTGGGGGTGGTGGGGGTACAGGACTACACAAAGGACATCCACCCCCAATAGGGGAGGCAAATTTCCTTTGTCAAGGGTATATAGTAGCTCTGCTTCCCTGCTAGAACCTCCAAAGGAGCTCACAAGAATGTGAATGTAACTGCG